TCCGTCACCGCGACTCTTCATTCCCCACTTCCGTTGTCATCAGCAACATTAACAGCGGGAGCCGAACCATTCTCCACCTGAACAGGTGTGTACTGGTGACGGGTACAAGGGAGGTACGGGCTAGGTGCATACAGGTATGAGTGAGGTGAGTACAGGTAAGGTACAGGTCAGGTATGTACAGGTATGAGTGAGGTGAGTACAGGTAAGGTACAGGTCAGGTATGTACAGGTGTATGGTACATGTGTGAGGTAAAAGTGGAGTGTTGACAGGTATGAGGTACAGGTGTGGGCCATTGTGAAATATAGATGAGGTATTTGCAGGTGTTTGGTGTGTACAGGTAAGGTCGGGTGTATACAGGTGTGAGGTAGAGATGAGGTATATCAGTGAGGTGTATACAGGTGTGAGGTACAGTGCATACAGGCTTTAGGTGACGTGTGCCATAGGTGACATGTACAGGTGAGGTGCATACAGGTGTAAGGTAGAGATGAGGTATATCAGTGAGGTGTATACAGGCGTGTGCTATAGGTGACATGTACAGGTGTGAGGTACATACAGGTGTGAGGTACATACAGGTGTGAGGTACATACAGGTGTGAGGTACATACAGGTGTGAGGTACATACAGGTGTGAGGTACATACAGGTGTGAGGTACATACAGGTGTGAGGTTCATACAGGTGTGAGGTACATACAGGTGTGAGGTACATACAGGTGTGAGGTACATACAGGTGTGAGGTTACAGGTGAGGTGCATACAGGTGTGAGGTGCATACAGGTGTGAGGTACATACAGGTGTGAGGTACATACAGGTGTGAGGCACATACAGGTGTGAGGTTACAGGTGAGGTACATACAGGTGTGAGGTTACAGGTGAGGTACATACAGGTGTGAGGTACATACAGGTGTGAGGTTACAGGTGAGGTACATACAGGTGTGAGGTTACAGGTGAGGTACATACAGGTGTGAGGCACATACAGGTGTGAGGTTACAGGTGAGGTACATACAGGTGTGAGGTTACAGGTGAGGTACATACAGGTGTGAGGTACATACAGGTGTGAGGTTACAGGTGAGGTACATACAGGTGTGAGGTAGGGCTGCAACAACTAATCGACATAATCGATTATAATCGATTATTGAAAAAGTTGTCAACTTTTTCAATAATCGATTAATCGGCTTCCGATCAGTTGGCCTTGTTCACAGCTCCACACGCTGTGCGCCGCACCTCCTCCCCACCTCACGCTCGCCGCTGCCAGACCCGCTCGCATCCACGCTCCGCACCTCCTCCCCACCTCACATTTCCTGCCCATCCACGATCGGCAAGGCACGCGGGGAGATGTAGTAAGGAGGAGCAGGGGTGGGGGGGGGATGACAGCCGCTGATAGACAGGTCCGATCTCAGAAGCAAGTTGCTGGAAGACTGCTCAGGTAAGCCTACACTCCTCCCCCACATGGTGCTCTATCATGTATTGCTGGGATTTGTAGTCCTCTATAGCTGATGGTACACTGTGCTGTACATTATACATAGAAATACAAATCCCAGCAATACATTGTATGCTGTATGTATAATGTATTGCTGTGATTTGTTCTCCTCTGTAGCTGGTGATATTCTTCATTGCACTGTATAGAGGACTACAAGTCCCAGCAATAATACATTATACAGCGCAATGCAGAATACCGCCAGCTATAATATACTATTGCTGGGATTTGTAGTCCTCTATAGCCGGTGCCATTCTGCATGCATTGCTGTATAATGTTACACTTTCCATGTCACTATATTGCACACCACACTATCTTTCTTACTTCCACCGCTCCCGGCTCGCTCCCGGCTCGCTCCTGTGATGGACTACAACCTCACTACAAACTACTAGTCCCATCACTGGAGACATTTTTTAAACTTTATTTTATTGTTTATCCGATTAATCGAACTTAATAATCGGCTAACTAATCGATTTTGAAAATAATCGTTAGCTGCAGCTCTAGTGTGAGGTACATACAGGTGTGAGGTTACAGGTGAGGTACATACAGGTGTGAGGTACATACAGGTGTGAGGTACATACAGGTGTGAGGTTACAGGTGAGGTACATACAGGTGTGAGGTACATACAGGTGAGGTTACAGGTGTTAGGTACATACAGGTGTTAGGTACATACAGGTGTGAGGTTACAGGTGAGGTACATACAGGTGTGAGGTTACAGGTGTTAGGTACATACAGGTGTGAGGTTACAGGTGAGGTACATACAGGTGTGAGGTACATACAGGTGTGAGGTACATACAGGTGAGGTGCAGCAGAATTGAATGACATCTGTTGGTATCTTATGATGGAGTGCCGCCCCCCCCCACCTGGAGATGCCGAGACTCAACACCAGTGAGACGTACACCAAATAAATCTCCTGACAGTAAAGCTTGCTCCGCCCCCTTCTCTCTCCACCAATCACCTGTCTTCTGTAGATTTTGCCTATATCCAC